TGTATACAGAGGTATACAATAGATCAGGTCCACCACGCAGGCTTGCTGCCTAGGTATTCTCTTTGACTCCGACCTCTCCTTCACCCCTCATGTCCAGTCGATCGCCAAATTCTGCCGCTTCCATCTCAAAAAACATTGCGCACATCCACCACTACTTAACGCCAGATGCTAAGGTGCTGGTCCGTGCCACGGTCCTCTCTCACCTTGACTATTGCCATTCGCTTCTCAGTGGTCTTCCGTGCTCCCAAATTGCCCCATTACAGCATATAATGAACGCGGCGGCGGGGCTCATCCTCCTGTCCGCCCGCACCTCCCATGCCTCAACCCTCTGTTAGTCCCTGCATTGGCTTCCTGTAAGGTGTATGGCTCAATATAAAATTCTGTCTCTTGCTTTCAAATCTCTACATAATGCTACTCCCATCTATCCTCCCTAGTATACAAATATGTCCCCATCTAGGCCCCTACATTCTGCCGAAGACCTATGTCTATCCACTGTTCGCACTCCCACCTCTGATGCACACCTTCAAGATTTCCCTAGGGCTGCACCGTTCCTGTGGAACTCCCCTCCCTTCTCCGTTAGACACTCACCCAGTCTCCTCTCCTTAAAAAAAAAAAAATCATTAAAAACTCACTTTTTCACAAAAGCATATCAAACTGTTAATGGCGCCAATAAAAACCAAAACCAAGTCTTCATTGAATACTATTCTACCAATCTACCCTAATAATATCTTACCTTTTGTGTTACTTTACCCCACTCCCTCTACCATGTAAGCTCATGTGAGCAGGGCCCTCAACCCCTCTGTTTCTGTGCATCAAACTTGTCTGGTTTCAATTCCATGTTTGTTAGTCCACCCACTGTAAAGCACTGCCAAATTTGTTGGCGCTATATAACTATAATAATAATTAAAAAAAATAAAAAGTGTGCTCCTAATACTTTTTTAATTAATGTGCCCTCTATTAAAATGCTATTAAACTCACCTTTATTCCAGCGATGGAAGCGTCTACTTCACGCAGTTCCACTCCTCCTCCATGAAGTAATACATCCGTATGGCTTCTATCCAATCAGATGCTTTTAAACTGAGACACACTTGCATGTGTGTCAATCACCATAATTGAAACCAATGCTTCGCTATAAGAAGCACTCACTACAGTTTAACGCGAGTGTAGAAGGAAACCCTCCCAGCTGTGTATGCTTGAGCATCAGAAGAGGTTACCAGTATGTTTTATATCTCCATTTTTTATTTTATTTTTACAATATATTTTTTTACATAAAGGCTGCAGGGACATCACCTAAAGCACTTCAGAAAGTGGTCGTGATTTAGGGGATTTGATGATCGTTTCTTTAACAAATCTTTGTGATGTTGCAAAGCACTGATCAAGGCCAGATCCGCAAAATTAAGGACTATTTTAGTCTACAAAACTTCATAAAAGTGCTTGCCATTTTGCTAATGCCAACATGCTCATCCTTTAATAGTTTGACTGATCATCCAAATTATAAACTGTGACAATGTTTTATTTAGCAGATAGCTGGTCCGGGCAGAGCAGACCAATAAGTGAAGAAATGTTCTCAGGTCATAGACTGAAAGGGGGAAAGGTTGCAAAAGCATATAGTACAAACCATCCACATTTAATTATTAAGAACAAGAAAAGCTTAATATTCAAACAAACTCACAAATACAAGGCAAATCATGTCCCTAGTAAGATTTCTACATCAAACAACTAAAGCACAATGCTGCTTATTGTTCACAACACCACAGGTCTAATACAATCAGCAGCAGCAACCGGATAAATATGAAGCTTGTACTGCATATAGAATAAAATAAAAACAAGCCTAATACACTTGTACATTCATTTTCCCTGCTGAATGGAGATTATAGGTTGGCTATTTGGAGTACAGGATTGAGGGACAACAGCAGGCAATCATATTATATACCGAGAGTATGAATTAAATACTATAATTCTGTATAGGTGTATGCATGGATAAGGTCTCCTAAGTCCAAAATGCAAAAATGGGTTAGTGTGTCCCTCTGTGCCCATGGAAATTACATAATTTTTTCTGTTGGACAGCTTTACGAGACATTTTTTCAGCAATTGCAAAGTATACAATGGCAATAGCTGTCCACAGTTTACTTCTTTCTTCAAGATAGTACCCTATAATGGAAAGAAGGTGGATGTGAACACAATCCATCAGTCAACAGTCGATACAAGGGACACGCTCAGAATTTTAGAACATTCTCAACCAGTAAGAGTCAGATATTTAAAATCTAAACCATAGCTACAACAGGAAAAGCAAGAAGAGGAATACACATAGGAGTAACATTTAAAGAATGTATTTTGTATACTGCTTTACAACATGTAACAAGGCTATTTTACTCCTCACGTGGACTTTCCCTATTCTCCCCACACTGAGAGCACCAATCTTTACCAGGATTTGCAGAGTTTGTGATTTAAAAATATATATGTTTATGTTAGTGAATATGTCCTAAAAATCTTCAGACATCAGAGCAATACACGAGTCAGTCTGTCATTAAAAGAAACACTGCAAGCACCATAACCAGCACAGTGCTCTGTAGTGGTTATGGTGTCAAGGGATGCTCTGGCACCCCCAATTGTAAGTAATCAAACTATTTTCTGAAGGGGTTTAACTTCTTACCAGTGGTCTCACTCCCCACCTCAACTACAGCTCAGTAAGTGCTAAGAGCTCCAATCACTGATCCAAGCCCAGTAGTACAGGACTTAACTCATTGACCAAAAGCAATCAAGTAATGTTCACAGCCAATGAGCTAGTTCTGCACTGCACAGCGTAGCTGAAGAGAGATAAAAGAAGATTCTAAGCAGAATCTCTCAGATCTCACTGTGCTGTAGTGAAGTCTGGAGCGGTGTCCAGACCCAAGGTTAAGAAGTCAAAACGTTCTAAAAATAGTTTGACTACTTACATGGGGAAGGGGAGGTGTCAGGGCACACGTGCCAACATAACCACTACAACTCGCCGTAATTGTTCCTTTAACAAGGTGGCAAATGAACTGCATGGCAAAGGTTAAAAAAATCTTATAAACAAGCATCTGGCAGCTGAAGAGGTACATTAATAAAAGACATTGAATAAAAATCTTGCTAGTGAAAAGCATTGCATATTTAGGAATAAATATATTAATCTAGGAATTTTAAATAGTAGGAAATATATCATAAAATTTACCATGTTAATATGGTTCCACCTGGGATCTATGACTTGAGTGTTGTATTTGAATGAATATCACGTAGCAATTTTAAAAGGGATGCTGGAACCTTACTCATTTAATTTAGGATTGAGAACAACCCAAGGGTGCACTGGGATTAATTCCCCTTCAATAGCACAGAGCTAAACCTTTGGTTTAACAGATTTAGAGGATCTACAGTTTGGTTCTACTCAAGGCTCTCTGATACAAAGATGCTGTAGTTACCATCAATTATTTTTCCATTTTATTTTTTAATATAATCGCAACACTGTATCTTGACGGTATCTTATTTAAAAGAAAAACCATCTATCACAGGTCCTGACACTCAATGTTGTGCTGACAAGTTAACCAGCATCTACAACAGATTACATAACTACCTACAACTTAAGCGGTCTTATATCACAAAACTGCCACAGAACATACAAATATAAGTAAGCTATGGCACTGAGGTGAGTCTAGAGTGTACGGAGCAATTTAGTTGGGATACCTGACACAGTAGTATCAAAGTTTCGTGTTTCATCACAATGCAGGGTTCAGCAATAAAATTATGTATTTTAGCATTCAATTGATTTTATGTTTTTGTGAAACTGATCGGAGTTTCTTCGATGCCCGACAGCAAAGTAATAAAGATCTGAAGTATTGGTAGAAATTACTAACTTTTTTTTCCGGTCACAAGGGTCATTAAACATGCATGCATGTCAAAGCACTTACAAGCTGGAGAGGAGGTGGAATAAATTGGGTTGAGAATGATGATATTATTCATCTGGGCATGGAATGTGTTCAGAGAAAGAAAGCTTTCTTGGGTTTTTCCAAATTATGTGGTCATCCAGGGTCACGGTCCTTTAATTTATATGTTGTGACATGGGATATAATAAACATTTCAGGGTACATAAAAAAAGATTTAGAACAGTAGTAACCCTTTGCATGATCTACACTGCTCACACAAGTGGTCAATTGTTTTCATTTTAGAATGGTAGGCTATACTTCAAGAGTACTCATACTCTGACTTACATTTGGATTAGAACCTTTATAGGAGGAAATGTTTATAAAATATGGTACAAGTATTGGATTTATAGATAGACTGTATGAATAACTGCACTTACACGAATTAGGTACATCTGACTTGTACATTATAGGAATTATAGCTAAAGAAATCACAACAGAAAAAAATAACCTGAATCAGTTATGTTCAGACACAAATACAGAACAGATTTGTCTTGCATTTCTTGATCCTCTGTTTATAGAGAAAATACTACCTGATCAATATCCGGTTAAATGTTGAAGAGTTTGCCTATTTGTTTGGGAGCACTAATAATCTGATACTTACTGTTATTTCTATGTCCAATAAATGTATTCACAGGTGCATTTAAGGTGACATACAGTCAGCAGGGTAAAAGAAAGCTATGGTGGCACCTAAAGAGGAACTCTAAGCAAAAAAAACAACAACAAAAAAAACAAGTAACCATTTTGGGACAGTTCTATGCAAACCAGAGCGCTTGCTAGCCCCTGGAGATTGTTTTATAATAAGGTACTATGTGACGGCCGTCTTCTGCATTGTTGGTTTCATAAAATATATGTTATGACAAATAATGAGCCTTTCAGAATTGTAGTTTTCAGAAAAAAACCTGGGTGGTTATAATACATTCAATGGTATGCATGATTCCGTATTTGTGTTCTTTAAAATCTCTGCATTTCAGAGTGATTTTAATGTAAAGTACAACTTTTTATTTCCAGAAAAGGGAAAGAACTATTAAATTTGTTTTAAAAGGCAAAGCCACGATCCCCTGTCTGCTCACTAGATTAGTGACTGGCACTGATGGAAATACAAATCAGCAGTTATCAGCTAGTACATTTAGGGCCTAGATTAAACATTCAAAGGAGTCTAGCAGCGAACAACCAAATGCAAACCTGTTGGACGCTCACTGATTGAGATGGTCTTGCGCATCTCATTAAGATTCTTGTGAAACCTGCTAAAACCAGAAGCTGCAATATTCCACTGCCAGTCAGGTTTGTGATCAAATAAATCTCCCAATCTTCTCATATTGTGCCTTAAAAATACGTAAAAACTATGGAGCTGGCATTAATTGTCTGAGTTCTAATCTCTTATTCTTTAAAGCAAAATAGTCATCAGAGCCAAGTTAATATTCATTGTCATGATAAATGTGATGACATACTTGTGAGGTGTTTGTCTCCAAAGTGAGTAGAAAGATTTTGAAATATTTGTTTATAATTCAATGTTAAAGTTAGAAAGCATGTCAATAGCCATATGTATTTACAATCTCATCTAAAGATTAAATATTTATTAAGCACTTACCTGTATATACTCAAGTATAAGTCGACCCGAATATAAGCCGAGGCCCCTAATTTTACCACAAAAAAACTGGGAAAACTTATTGACTCCAATATAAGCCTAGGGTGGGAAATTCAGCAGCTACTGGTAGATTTCTAAATAAAATTTGATCCCAAAAAAATTACATTAATTGAATATTTATTTACAGTGTGTGTATATAATGAATGCAGAATGTGTGTGTTAATGCAGTGTGTGTGTATATGATGCAGAGTGTGTGTATTTGTGTGAATACAGTGTGTGTATATGATGCAGAGTGTGTGTGTAAACTGGGTGGGGGAGGGCATTTTTATTTTAATATTTTTATTATTTAATTATTTTTATTATGTTTATATTTAATTGTTTTTATTTTTTGGTCCCCCCTCCCTGCTGGATACCTGGCCAGGGAGGGGGGCTCTCAATCCCTGGTGGTCCAGTGGTGTGTACTGTGCAGGTAAAATCTCTCTACTGTGTTGTAAATCTCACAGTTTGCGTGCCGTGTTGACACGGTAACTCGTGGCAGCGCTCTGACGGCCGCGGGTCTCATGAGGTTTACACAGGGGAGATGAACGGAGCGGCTGCATATGTAAGTAAGAGCTTGCTGCCGGCCCCCAACAGGATGGCCAGGCTTGTAATGAGCCCGGCGGGCCTGGTCTGTATTATGGCAATGTAAGTTGCCATAATACAGACCTTAAATCGAGTATAAGCTGAAAAATGTGCCAAAAAACTCTGCTTCTACTCAAGTATATACGGTACATTGAATGTGTTGTAATTTCACAGAAACTTCCCCTCAGTCAAAAGATAAGAGAAAGTAGGGACTATTTTGTCTTGCGTATTTTTCCCAATGCTTGACAAAAGTATGGAGCTACAACTGTGACGTCCTCAGCCATCACTTTGTCTATGAAGTCTAGCGTGGGTATACAGGATTCTCCACAGACATAGTTGTTGTACTCTCGTGCATGCGTGGGAGTACAACACTTCGTCAGTTCCCAGCAGATTAAGCACCAGGAGCTGTAGATGATACCGTGGCAGAATATGGCAGTCGCTACAGACAAGTTCATTTAAGTAAAATTTGCCTTTGCACTGCCAGCGGCAAAGTCATTGGGGATCTTAAAAGTAAAAATTAACTTTCTCCCCACCTCCCAAACTCTCTTAGCCAATAAATATTGACCACATCTGCAGATGCAGCTCATTGGACCACAACGAAGCATCAGAGCCCGGCAGGCACCCAGCTAATATACCATCATTGCTAAATGTTTTTTTCCCCATTACTGGGGAACCAAGTTAGGGTATTCTTGACATCACAACCACTTTAGTATCATTTTGGAGCCCAGTGTGGGCCTTTAATTTGACATTCCCACCCCTTGAATAAATTAATAGCTTAAATTAAGTTTTATGGGGCAGTAAAGTCCAAGTGCCATTTTACTTACAGGCGTTAAACAACTTTCAAAAACAGTTTATCACAGAAGATGTTTTGCCGTGCCCAACACCTCTGCCTCCTCTCTTCCTTACTCTCTTCCAGCAGTTGAAGTGATCAGGAGAGTTTACCGCAAACATGTCAAACATGCGGCCCACAATGAGTATCTTTGCGGTCCAGGGCCGGACTGGCCTACCAGGTTATCAGGAAATTTCCTGGTAGGGTGCCAGCCCTGGGGCCACTTTGTGCTGTGCCAGCAGCCGCAAGAGCACAAAACATTCTTCCACGCCACTCCCCGGATATGCGCATACAGGGTATACGCGTAGAGTGGCCGGCCGCGTGCAGAGCAGGCCAGCCACTCCGCCCCTTCCCTGCTGTTTGCATTGCTAGAGGAGCGTGTGGTCTGCTTGAGCAGAGAAGAGCAGGGCTGGACTGGAAGATGGCTTAAGGTAGGGGTAGATGGGCATGGGGGAACCTTCCTGCAGTGTAGTGCATTAAATGAGGGAGGGGCAGCAGTGTATTGAAGAAGAGTGATGGAAGTGAGGGCAGTGTATTATTTTAGAGTGGAGGGAGGGGGGCTGTGGGAGACTGCGTATTAGATTGGGGGGCCATAATAAATAACTTGAAGTGAAGCTTTTGAGTAAATTATATATATATATGTATCTATATCTATATCCAGGATTGCATATCATTTGCATGAAAATGATACAAGTAATTTTAGTTTGTGTTGGTCTATATCTGACTTTTTTGCGGCCCACATAAAGGTTAAATCTTGTTTGTTTGGCCCGTATTAGCCTTTGGGTTTCACATGCCAGGGAACCAGCCACTGGGTTAAACTGTTGAAAACATAGTTTAAAAACTTTGCATTGGGTCAAAACCAGTAGCAATGTGACAGCACATAAAAAGGCCTATCTAAGCCATGTAGTGCCTTCACCTTTTTCTTTCTTCAGTAATTTTAGATGTGGCTTGGGTTAACTGTACTATTATAGGGCTTTTTAATATAAAGGGAAACACAGTTAGAATTAGCAGGTTTACCTGTATATCTTCCTGTAGAAAGTTCAGTATTTCAACACACTTTACCTAGCATATTCATTAGTCAATTTAAAACATACCAGGGATAAATAAATAAAAGCTACATTAATTAGATAAATGTGTATGTGGTATAAGGATTTTTGCTTCCAGGTGGAAATCAATAAACCGTTCTTGGTTTGAAGCAACACAATGCATAAATAAAATGTTCATGAATGAAGAAATAGAAAATGTAGCAAATGATAGATCTGTACAGTTTACAAAATCTTTAGCCTTCATAGCTACACTGTGTACACGATAGACATGTAAATATAGGATATTATTTATTAATACATAAGGTCGGTGGATCTCACTTCCTTTCTCTGAACACAATGTTATATTCAGCTGAGCCTTTTCCAATGTGTAGTTAATTATGTTTTCCTGAAATGTATATACACATTATTCTATTCTTAGTTCTATGTCTTGCTCTCTCTCTTATGATCTCTCCAAGGATGGTCATATTTAAGTATTTTTTCACTGTACTAAAAGTTGATCAAGGATTCATACATTATTTTAGTAGGGGGCATTAGGTGGGAGAGGAAGAGAGTTCATACTCACCTCTCATTTAGTTGTATGACATGTCTCATGTCAGCAGTGGTCATCCGTTTCGTAGTTGACTATCTTGAAATGTTCTTTAGAGATTATGGCAAAGTTATGATGTAACACAAACACCACCCACATCCTTAGGCATGTGAAATTCAAATTGTTGGTCCTACAACAAATCGCTGATCAACAACTTCAGTTCCTGACAACAGAACATCCCCACTCCTAGATATCTCTACAAGGAAGGCATCTTGAAGAATTCCATCAAAAAGGCACTAATTTATGGTTGATATAATATAAGGATAATTGGACTAATAAAAGCAGCTGAGGTTTTAAATGGCAACATGCATGATTTTATCTGAAGGTTAATCACTCTACACTCCATCTGTCCTCCTGTTTGAGAAAAATGTGCCAGGAATAAAAACTGTTAAGGATTTATGAACATTAACCAAATTTGCGACATCAAACACACCACTAAAAGACAGATTATGAATCAAGGCCAAAAGATGAGAACTTTAGGGGCTTAATTCACATGAGATAATCTAGATTTTATTAGGTTTGCTTATCCCTCTGGCAACCATTAGTCCAAGTATTTACTGACACAGACATGAGCAGAATAGTACAGTGAAATTCACTCTGGCAGTAAATTGGTTAACACAGAATTAAAACTAGTAAAGAAAGAGAGGTTAGGACATTTACGAGAACCAGTTATCAATAAAAGCAAATGAACAATGACTGCACATTATTCCAGCACAAATAGTTCTAAGTACATAAAAATAGTACAGCTGTACTTAAGATTATGCCTTTTAATTTACGGCAGTAGTTTCTATATTTAAGTTAATTAACAACAAATAAGTATTTGGGGGGCGGAGCTTGGCAGCCGATCCGAACGGACGCAAGATAGATGGGCTCCGTGTCTATCCAGAGCGAAATAACCATTTTCAGCCTCTAAACTGCGGATAACAACGCCCAAACAACCCAAAAAGGGGATGGGAGGGAAAACCCAACAGCAGGCACCAAGCCCGGAGGTTGCAGAACCAGTGACGGCGACGCTGTTGAAGACTCTCCTGGGAGACTTACAGAAAACCCTCCAGGCGGATGTCGCTCAGCTACACGCTGACCTCACGGTCCTAGTGGGCCGTGTTCAAGCGGTAAAAGTCATCTCCAAGCAGCAAGCACAGGAAATATCAGAGCTCAGGCAGGAATTGCAAGTTTTAAAACAAAAGCAGGCCAAAACTGACCAACACTTTGCGACAATAGAAGACAATAGGAGAGCCCCTGAGGCTGCCCCCAGAGACCTGGTGGTGAAGTACAGGAGCACGGCCGACAAAATGGCGGTACTCGCAGCCCTGAAGGGAGCAGCCAACTACAGCTTTGAATCAATGACTTTCTCCTTCTTTGCAGACCTATCAGGGGAAACTCTACAGTGGCGCAGGTCCCTGCTACCTGTCATCAAACTGCTCCGAGAGAAACAGATTACCTACCGCTGGCGCACGCCGCGCACTCTACACATACAACAAGACAACAAGGCCTACTCCATTTCAGACATCTAAGAAGCACCCACCTTGCTGGGAACGCTGGGCCTGCCTCTGGAGGGGCTGCCGCCCACCACTGCACTGGAAACAACAGCAACGGTCCCGAGATGGGATCCAGCGAAGATAATCCCCTTCA